TTTTACATGTTACATACATATATAATATGTCAAGCGCGAAGTGACCACCTGCGCTCGCAATTAGCATAGAACAGCGTAAGTCAGAGCGGCGCGGCGGCGTGTGTCACGTGTGCACGAGGGCGTGAAGAACGGCTCGCTGCCGCTGGGTCGGCAACCCCGTGGCATGTGACCGAGTGGTTCTGTTAACGACGATCGTCCCGGCGCGGTGCAGCGCAGCGGTACGCGTTACGTACTTCGGTGCACACCCGCCGTGGGAAACCCGCAGGACCCCCATACGTGGCTGCACACGCGTGCAGCAGCAGCGGGGCTTTTAAAAAGCCGACTCGTCGTCGTCACTCGCCGGAAGCTCCGCAAAGCTTCACACGTGCAACGACACGCGTGCCTCCCGAATCAACTTTGTCTCGTGTATACGCGGTGTCCCACAACAGCCCCTTGCGCTTAAGATGCATTAATATCTTTCGATAAATTATTCGCTTTTTATAATGAAACAAATCCGGCTTTTTAAAGAAACGTCCGGATTGCTGCTTTATCATACCTTAGAAACCTTGTTTTATCTCTTGTTTAAAAAAATACATACCTTATTATATATAAAATTATATATATAATATATATAATAATATATATAATTATATATTAATATATAATATATATAAAAGTATATGTACATAAATTTATGTATATATACTTTTTTCAAATTTATGTGCTACAAATGAGAAAATATAAAATAGAATTGTTTCGCAACTTGTAATTCTTTGATGATAATTGTGATATGATGTTCCTCTATCGAGATGATTGTTTAAAATAAAATGAATGTAACGCATAATCATAAGTATTTATAATTCATGAAACGATGTAAGGAGTTACCATATTACTATCGATCGAATGTGACCACTTGTCAACAAAGCAGACATGAATTAGGGGGATGAAAATTGCAACTGCAAAGGGTAGTTTACTGTGGGAACTGATCGTGGCTCGATTCCCATCAAACAAACTATTCCCATCAAGAGACTTTCGAATAATTTGCAATCAATCTAATGAACGTGCCGCAATCATAAATCAGAAATGTTGTGATATTAGAAAATTACATTTCTATTTAAAAACTGTTTCATATACTAGATAAAAATCTATAGTCAAAAAAACTCTTCGATATAAATTGTAATCTAATTATATACGTATGTTTGATAGAAAATATTTCTATACAATACATTCTTATTTGAATGTAACAAGCGGATTATCATAATAGATGCATGTTGCGACAACTGTTACCTCGTAACAAGTGATTTATTTCCGTCTTAATATAATTTCTTGCCATTCATCCAGCTGTATTTGCATTTTTCTTTTTCTTATTAAATTTGTCTTATTGAATTACTCATTTAATTCTAATTTTATTATACCTATATTGCTTAGTACGTATGTGTGTGTTATAAAATATTATAAAATTAAAAGTGAACCTGGAGTTTTTCATTTTTAATAATATCTCGTAATAAAGATTTAACCGAAAGATAGATCGAATACCGTGATTTCTACTTATAATTGCTTCCGCATATAACTGATATAAGCGTAGATATCAATAATAAATAATTTTATATATAATGCGCGCGCGTAATGTGTATCAGAAAATGTGTGCCTTGTCAAATAATCTGCTGAATAAGATGATGCACCGGGGCGGTGATTATAATTAAATTGGCCGGCAAAAAGATGTGTACGAGCGTGACTCGTTACTTTCGGATTGCGCTCCTCTCGAGCGTGTAGCAGACAAGACTGCCGGGGAATGAAACGCCTCGGCGGTAAAAAGCACGTTATTTTTAATTAATTCCTACCGAGGAGGAGGTCGGCCCCGGGTAAAAATGGCGCGCGCCGAAACCCGGGTCCCGTATAAAGGCATCATTCGCGCCGATCACGGCTGGGAGCCGCAATCTCTCTCGATCTTACGAGGAAGGATCTTATGTGGAAAAGGTCAGGGCCTGGCGTGTGCCGTCGTTATGACGGGCGTGGTGCTCACGATCCAAACGTATATTAAATCACGTTCGTGCCGGGAGCACGACCCCCACGTGTTAAAGCTGATCGTTTCTATTTATGCTCCGATATTCGGATATACATATATGTACATATACTCGCGAGAGAGAGAGATTAATGGAATAGCGACTCGCGCGTGTACATATTTCCGCGATATTAAATTCTGATACGTAGAATAACGGGATGCAACGCGGATACTAATCGAAATAGCACATCGTCCATCATGAAGTTTGAATCACTGCTCTCATTATTAGTACAGATATCGCTGTAATACCCAAGTACTCAAAGTCGATGCATATACAATTTATAATTGATCCCGATTTAAACGTTTCCGATATTCAATTGCGTACAAATGTGCTATTATATTTCTTGGCATTTTTGATAAATGTGATGTTTGTAATAATAATAATAATATGTATAAATGTATGACCAAGAGATATTGAAAAAAAATTATTTTACATCCATTATTTTAAATCGAAATAAAATATTATTTAAATATCAATAACGTAACATTTTTAATGGAAAAAGAATTCCATTAAAAAGGGTGTGACGAATTGTTTTATATTTACGCATATTATTGTAATAACAATAAAATGTGTTACTATAATCCAGAGATATTGAAAAAAAAAAATTATTTTCATTGATCGTTTTAAATTAAAACAAATCAAAATTATATTCAAATACCAATGATATAAAAATTGAAAGGAACAATAAAAGTTTAATTAAAATAGGCTTTTTGGTGATGGCCACAAGGCGAGTAGAAAGGAGGAAGAATCCGGTCAGGTGGAGAAGCGAGAGGAGAGATTGAGGATCGGCAATTTTCTCGACATGTAATTTCACCTGTTGCACACATCCGGCGCGAATCTGATCGGCCGGTTCGATTTGTAAAGGTAACGAGCCGTCTCGGCTGCTACGATTATCAGAAGCTATTCTCCGGACTACGAAGGCCGAGAGAAAAGGCGTGGAAAAATCAAAAATGCGAAGGTAGAAAACGAGAAACGAGACCAAAGAACGGATCTTTCTTTCGAGAGAAATGAATCTTTTAGATTCAACAACTGAACAATGTATATATATTTTCTTGTGCACGGCGATATATAAAAAATATATTTAAGTATATATTTTATTTTCAAATTAACAAACACTATAACACTGTATAATTTTAAAGGAACCTGTTTTGGAATTAAGCCTGATTTGCATAAGATTTTCTGATTTTAATATCATAAAATAATAATATGTGTTTCTCATACAAAATTCACAGCTTTCATACCTGAAAGGTGACTATATACTTACGACGTGAAATAATATTTTTTTATTCGACAAGGTTTTTTTTTCAAAAATGTTCTCATAACCGGTTATTTGTTGTTGCGTTTACCTTATTAAAGAACTGCGTGGCGATGATATAATGGCAAGTACTGGACTGATTTGTATCGCAACTAATTGTCGGTTAATAATAACGTTTATCGCGACGGCAGTTAGTCACTTCGATGATTCATTTGCGAATTCCACAGAATGATAGCTAGGCGCGGCGCGATTGCACAGTTGCAGCAAACATTAATTAAACAAATGATACTAGCGAGCGCGTGTCACGCAGGCACGCTATTACTGCGAAAAATTTTCCGAGATTATCTTGTTAATTGCACTATTATTATAAGATCGATCGTTCAAAATATGTTTCCGTTCGCGTCGGTAATTGTTAGTAATTTTGCATCCAATCGTTTTTCACAACTTGTCGCTAATTTTCCAGTCAACCAGGTGGTTTTCGCATGCTTAATCGAGCGTATGATTTATCGATTATATGCATTAAAAAATTAATCGAATAATAAATACATCGTAAATATTATCTTCGATATATTACAATAAAGCGATCATTTAAAAAAATCATTAAATGTTTTTACTGCAAATTTAATGGTATATTTTTTATATACATAAAAAAGCATGCCTAAAAATTAAACTTTATTGTTAAAAATTAAATTTTAAACCGGAATATGCTAAGTAAACATTTGAAATACAAAATTTTATCTTTTAAAATGTAGAATATAAAAATAGTATTATTAATATTAGTTTATAGTAAACAATGATAATAAATGTATGTACAATTAAATTTTAAATTAGCATTATTTTTTAAAAATCAATTACGATTCAAGAGTTAAATATCATGCTGGAATTAAATTTTCTGCTTTATTAAATACGTGTGACGAATGTAATTAAAAATTATTGTTCTCTTCTTTCTTTCCAAAATATAATGAAACATTCCTATTATGATTAAATTATACTTTGTCGCGGTTTTGAATAATCACGCAATATGCTGCAAGAAATATACCCTGATTCCCGGAACAAAATACACAACCTATTAATTCCTGCATTAATGTTTTCGCATAATCCTTAAGTAGGCGTTTAACGATACAGCGGCTGACATTAAGTCCAAGTATAATATTGTAATGTGGCACAACATTGGAACACGCACACACAGGTAAGATCGCTAAAACGTCGTTATCGGTACGTTAAAAACCACAAATAGAAAATCAAGTATCGATATTTTACGGCAATTATGCGAGTAATAAAATAAACCGTTCGATTAAAGAGCGAGGAAAACATCTCGTGAGAGAGCATATCACAGAAAACCTTTCACGATAGTCTCTCGCCTTGTGATAAGCGAAATTAATGCACCAGCTTTAATATGCTACTTGTGTGTATGGTTGCTAAGTAATTAACCAAGAGGTTCCTAAATTAAAAGAAACCTGTGTTCAGTGTCATATTAAATATGCAATTATGTTACGTATTATGTGTATTGCAGCTGGCATAAAAAAATGATAAAGTTGGAGTCAAGGTGCTATATGGAAACCGTAAAGATAGAGAAGAAGCAAAAATAAAATATCACTCCATATTTTCAATGTCGTTCGTTTCGCTGCCTTTCGGGATATGCACGACTGTGATCTTATCTTATCGTCTCGAACCGTCTCAACCGCGTAAATTATAAAGAACACGATATAGAGACTCTCTGCACCTGCACTCGTAGAGGACGAACAGGTAACCGCGTAACCACGAACCATGGGATCACAATAGAAAATAATGAAGCGACCTTACTGGATACCGCTGGGAATAGCAATAGTGGTTTCTTTCCAGATGAGAAAGGATTATAGAAAGAGCAATAAAGGAGGACAATGCAAATCACGTGTAATGGTTCTAGACAAAGTTGAACTCTTAAAACTGATGTAAGTAAACATTTTATAAAGTTTCATGAATTTAAAATCAATTTTTTCTTGGCAAAAATAAGTAGGAGGTTAGCGCATTCAATAATATAAAATGTAAAATAATGTTGGCTTGGTGCGATAGAACTGGATGAATAGACTCGTTAACAACGAATTGATACTATCACGTGGCGGAGGGGAGATCTGTTCGAGTTTCCTATATATCCTGGCATATACGAGTGAGATTTTATCACATCGCCATGCAAATAATGTCAGGAATATAGGTTGCCAGCTGTGAATGTATGTACACATAACATGATAATGCGAATTTATTAAAAGTAGATCCTATTGTGTGCTTTGAAAGCGTATAGAGAATTGAAAATATGAATGTGCAACATTCGATAATAAAAAGTATTAAACGAAATGTACTAAATACAGGTAAAGGTTTTAAAATATCCTCTATCAAAAAAAATGTGATCTCAATCCATCCAAAAATGATATAATATAATACACATGTATATGCGCTAAAAACAACGCAAAGTACACGATAAAGAAAGCACGACCAACGCATTATATCTCGCAATGAAAGTTCGCAGTTGTGTGATCTATCGTCTCGAAGACAGGGAGACTGCAGGGGAACGAAGGTCGCGAGTTAGGTCAATCTTCGGAGCCCTCGGGCTTCGTAACATCTTGCAAGCGGCAGCCGATTAGTCACCCGATACAAACCCGCTCAGGTGAAACCAGAAGTGTCACGTTTTATCGAGAGGAATACAATTTCGCGCGAGGGCACTTTCGTTCCGCGACAAATTATATAATTTTGATTTTAATCAAACCAAATTATAAAAACAAAATTAATTTCAACATAAAAACGTAACATGTAGATATCGTGATTGATGATGATCGATTTGGGAACCAGGAAAGACCTCGATAACGCGTGTTTCTCAATTTTCCACAAGTGGCCGAGCGTGACCTACCAGATTATTATACACGGCCGTGCTGCCAATAAACCGACCTTAACAACGATTACCTTTTAGCCTCCCATTCTCATCAATTTCTGACGACGAGTCCGGCGACGATAATATAGATCGGCGGCCTGGGGGCGCGAAAGAGCATCGAAAATCGGGAACGGCGTTCAGTCAGATGAAAGTCAAGATTCTCGGAGGAAGTGTGCATAGCTTGGGCGCAGTGTTTGTCAAATAAAACGATCACGATAAAGCCGAGTTTCGAAGGGGAGAGACCAGCCCCCTCCGGGGTTGATCGCCGCAAAAGTATCGTCCAGATAATGACGCGACCGCGGATCGATGATGGACAAAATTCCCGCCGCACGTCCGACACGTGCAGCCCCGGAGAGAGGAAATTATTGATTATTAAACTCGGGCCTGGCGGCGCGCTATAACTATCGCGAAACGATAGCGCTCCTCTTCGAGCGATCGATTTTCGCTTCGTCGCGATATCTCGTGAAATCTCTCGAAAAACACGTCTCCTTCAAATATTTGAAGGAATAGTGTCGTAGCCGATGGTTAAACATATGATAATCGAAGAATGATTGTGAAATATTCCAATTAATATCGATTTATTTATTTATATAAGTTATTCTCCAGAAAGAGAAATTTTTTGTAACTATCTTAATTTTCTAAATCATTAAAATGTGCTTAATTAATTTTTTATTCTGTATGAAAATTACTGTTGCCAATTAACGTAAAAATTATTTAATAAAACTTTATGTATATTTATTTAGTCTCTAAATGAGATTAAAAAATATAAAAGTTGACAAATAATTATGCAAATGTCTAACTTTATAATAAAAGTCCTGCAAAGTATTTTAATTAAACTGGATATATATTTGCTAGCCACATCATACGTGATTCATTTTGCTGATTACTAATTATATAAGCCGGACGTATATATTCAAATAATTATACAAAATATTTTTGTAAAATTAAGCATCATTATGCGAGTATAATAACACTTATTAAAACAAAGCAAAGATGAATATAAATCATTAATTTATGTGGCAGCGAAGTGTAAATATCATAATAAATCTGATCAGTGAACAATCATAAAGTTGTTATTTTCCGACCACAATCATAAAATCATATATCCATAAACACACAATTACATCAAATAGGATGCATTGAGAATAAAATTTAATTACTTCAATATTCCAATATTACGTGCCATTTATAATTAGTATTGCATCCATGCACTATTATAAATGTTGAATTTCATTAAACTAAATAATCATTTGTTAAAATTAATATCCTATGTTTTTAGAATTTCAATATACATTCATCGGAATATTTGATGAAATTCTAATTACCAACATTACTAACAAATTACAAATAAAAATTAGATATTACAAACTATAGAGATAGAAATTATCATATCGTTGACGGCACGATTCTTTATGATAAATATAGGGAAATAATAATAAATAATAATTCCAGATTATTACAATTATAATTATATTTCAGAATATTTATCTTAATAGAAGGTATAAATGCCATATAATCAAAGATTAATAAAACCTTTCCATTTATCAGTCACGCACAGATAGACATTCTTTTGACGTTATTAAATTAATAAATATTTTTCAATGTTACCTAATAAATCATTTATTTGAAACAAATAAATATTTTTGTTTGAAAAAGAATTTTCTTATATCAAAAATTATTATATATTATTATTATATAATAATAAATCAGAATTAGTTTCAAATAAATGATTTATTAGACAGTATTGAAATAAATAATTATTTTTATAATTATTTAATAAATATTTATTAATTCGAATTCAATAATTTTTTCAGTGTATGCATCGACATTAAACTGAATGGACTGCAACCGCGTCGGTGCATCGCTGCATCGCTACCACCGTGGCAGCGCGTTGTCTTGTGCGGAACTGATGAGAATTACACGCACCTTGCCAAGAATTAACCGTGAATATCAGAACAGGCTTTTATCCCTTACGAACGACCATTCGCAATATTCCGCCGCGGGCTTTGCCTCCGTTTACACGCAGACGTTGTTACGTATGCACCGAGAAAGGCACAAACGATTCTGCGCATTTCGAAATTTTGAGAGAGCCTACAGGGCTAAAGCAAACTCCACGTTTAATTAAAGAGTATTCCGGAAAAATATTACAACCATTAAAATGTTCAACTTTGAAATCTTAATAAAAAATAATGTAGAAATATAATAACATACCTATAATCTGAAACTATAATTTGAAATATCTAAACATTTATAGTTTAAACATATGCTTGTCATAGTGGGAATAATAATAAGATATGTAATTTAAAAAATTTTTTTAGAAAAAAGAATAGGTAATATATGGTAAAAATTATTAAAAATAAAATTTATAAAATATGCAACAAAATATATATAAAAATAAATAAAAATAAATATTAATATAATATTAATGTATTATTAATTTATATTAATGTATTATTTGAAATCAAACCATATTATTCCGTTTCTTGTCTTTTTAATACTAATAAAAGAAAAATAACCACGAAATATGCATGAATAAATGTGATATCGAATATGTGATGTGAAGTATTTGAGTAGAAAAAGAAAATAAAGAAGGAAAGAAACGCAAAAGTTGCGAAACATCGAACTATGGGACATTCAAGTACATTCGCTATACAAGCCAGGTTTTATACATCGACCATAAGATTTTCTTTTTCACAATCTCGAGAATATTTTGTTACGTAGATACGATTTCACGAGCTGTCGTATATGACTCTCATTTCCAATAAGTCGAACTACTTCGGCAACTTGTTATGTTAGGTTGTACAATCTCTTATAAATTACAGATATATATCCAGTTTCACAAAAGTATGTTTTCTTCATATATTCAATAAACGCGATAAATCTAATACCAAAAATATCACGACCATAAACATTATCAAAACGCGAAATATTACCTATCGATATAATGAAAACATCGTAAATATAATAATAAACATTTCGAATTAATTTATTCACAAAAGCATATAATAATTTTATTGATTATTTAAAAGCTTTAAAACTGTTGTTAAATTTAGGAGCAAGCTATGCGTGTATGTAAAATGCAAGAACTATAATGTTACATAAATAATACTTCATGATCATCAAATATTCGATTCTGCTAACAATAAGAGCTTTATATCAATTTGGAGTAAAAAATAACAGCATATCGCGAGTAATTTTTTGAACAAAAATTGCGAAGTACTCAGATTCTAAAGTCAAGAGAACGTTTTGTGAATATTTCGACGAGAAAGTTAGTTTTCAGTCCTCAAACTAGAACGCGCCGATATAAAGTTTGAAATACACTTTCTACTGTCAAATCTACCGAATTCCAGTCAAACATGATGCTATATCTCAGTTATACCTATATACGTTCTCTGAAATCGAGGGCGTGGCGGCGTCGAGATAAACTGATTGTAAGTAGAAAGCATGGTAAGGTTAATCAGGAGTAAATCCGATCGCGCGTGGTCAAAGTAATAACGCAACTCCGAGATCGTGTCCAATTAAACCATCATAAAAAATGCGATAATAAACGATCGTGAACGATATGGCGTGTGTAAATCACCTAAACCCAAGAACGCGTGATTCTAAGCATAATCTGATTGAGAAACACACAACTCTGAAGCTATTTAAAAAATGAATTAAACTTTTTTTAGTTATAACGTCTATAATTTTTGAACAATATGGGATACGTGCTGAGAACTGAAAGGAATATATTAGCTTTTAATATACAATTCAATAAAATTATTTGTATACCTACACATAATATAGAAGTTTTATTAAAAGAATTAAATATTATATATATAACTTCAAATATACAAGGAAATACGCTTTTCAATGAAATCTTAATAAAGCGGAAATTCCGTTCCAGTTTTCACAAAGGAATATCGCCCTATTTATAGTTATATAAAAGTGCTTATTACTAAACATTCTGTACAAAGACCTGCACGAGAAGACGATGAACAGAGGAAATGCATCGCGATCGCAAAGATGGATGCGCGGTAGAATTAAAGGGAAGGAACACAATTATCGATTAAGCGGACACACGAATTCACAGGCCGTGTATCAGTACAGACTCTTTTGTTCCACTTTCGAGTATATCAAGTTACATTGTGTACCGGCAAGCATCGCACCGGATGTACCAATGAGCGGCGTGGCGAGAGTCAATGAGCCATTTCCGGGGCCTCTCTCGTTGCAGAATATTACATTGATAACAGAAATTGCCTTCCAAGTGTTCGCGATGGATGGCAAAGACGTTTCTCTGGCCAAAAAACGGAGCCGCGAAGATATTCGGTACCACACATGTATATCGAATATTGTGACGAATAAATTCGAATTTAAATTTTCGATATATAGACATGTAAAAGAGTAAGTAATCTCTTTTTATTCGTGTATGAAAAATAATTTGCTTAAGATTTTGCAATTATAATGTGATCGAAAATTGAAAATAATCTATCAATCGAATCGTTCGAAACTTGAAACTAAACCTACTGTGACCTGATAATTAAATCAATTTTGAAAAAAAATATTAAAGTATAAGAAGAAATGAGAACTGACTCATTTGCATTAAGTTATTCACTTTTTTACCCTATAAGTATTCACGGAATTTAAGTAATTTATATCTTGCATGCTTTTTGGGGGCTCAAAACTTGAGCATTTTCGATAAAAGAAACAGATTGATCCACTCTCGCGAAACCATTAATTTTTCTACACAGACTGCCTTCTCAATCTGCCCCGCTCGCGTGATTCTCAATGGAATCATTCATGCGGAGAACCATAGTTGTATATTGTCGATATGAGATGCGCAAAAAAAAGCCCATACTAAATGGGTTCGCTCGAGCTCATCGGATATTCTAGGAACTTGTAAACGACAGTTTGCAATCTATATTAATATACATATAACTCGAGCTATGTTCCAATTGTAAATATTAAAAATATTAGATACTTAATATTACATAATTAATTTTGCTAAATAATTAATTTCACATAACTCTTAAATAATAGAAAATGTAAAAAAAATTTAAATAAAAATTAAACAGTGTTCTAATTTTATAAAAAAAAACTAACAAATTTATTAATAATAAATAAATAAATATATATATATATATATATATATATATACATGTCGCGGATTTTATTTTAGTTCGAGACAGTTACTCTATGTCAATGTGAGCAACGGTAGAACATATGAAAGCTATTCTGACACAGCTTGCAAGATAACTGGATGGCCTCGCGGACATTAAATGTCCACGGATCATAAAGCATAAAGTATGTATTGAATTGCAATCGACGTTTGCACATTTTATTTATGGAGAAGAAACCTCACAGGCGAAAAATCGCGATACGCTTGACGTAGCTTATATCGGAGTTGACTATACATCATTATCTTATAAATGCAATAGAAACGGAGCTCGAGAAATAATAAAACATAATTTTTATAATTAGGTATTTTGTAAAAATCATTATATAAGCGTGATTTAATCGACGGATAAATTTCAAGCACAAAGCGCAGTAAAAAAAAATTCGCGCGAGTCTGTGTGCCTTTAATACGTTGTTGCACATCGTCTCGACAATCATCGGGATATCGAATCCTGCGAGAGCAAATATCGCGGTACGAAAGAACGAATCACATGAGCCCGAGGGGATTCGCGTGATATCTCTCCAAAGGGCGGGTACCAGAAGAAGAAGAAGCAGAAGAAGAAGACGACGAGGACGATCAAGAAGGAGAATCGAGAGGAACGGACACAGATAGAAAGAGAGAGAGAAAGAAAGAGAGAGTGCATTGAAACGCGTCATTCGATCGCGAGGTCGGTATCAGGTGCAAACCAGTTTCGGTGCATATAAAAGAGAGACCGCATCGTGCATCGGCGATCTGCACTCAAATGGCGACACGCACTCAAATGTGTATGTACGTGTATGCATATATACATATATATGCACCCGAGCTATACGAACGAGTTCGTGCAACGATGTAACTCCGTTGCAACTTTGAGAAGCGCGCACACATAGTACCGCGTGTTACTCTCGTAATTTCACAAACGCATTCTCTCTTCTCGTCGAGAAGTCTGAATATAAAATAACTCACATCGCGAGAGAGAGAGAGAGAGAGAGACCGTGATTTTATAGCCTGCGGTATATGTATATCGCGTGGTCGTAAACGATTTCGGAATTTTGCAGTATATCCCGCGAGATTTCATAAACACCAATTATGTATATACCGGAGGATTGTATCGTCGAGCGCGCTAAAAGATACGAGCGACCCATATATTTCCCTATTTTATTCAAATCATTAACATGTCGATGAACTTGTGAAAGATCGCTCGTAAACCGCGATATACAACACATCTGTTGTAAAGGAATTATTAGCACATGTATTATACATTTATTTTTATTAAGAAATCCTACGTTTAATCGAGACTGTAATGCACTTTGTGCATTTCATATTGAGAGAAAAAAAGAGATAAAATTATTAAGTTTATATAAACTTGTTTTTAAAATTTATTATTTAAATAACGCAATCAGAGCAATTAAAATATTAACAACTTACAATACGATGCAATAGTTATTTAAATATTTATACATAAAGATCTTTAATAAATTTCTGTAAAGATAAAAGCTGACATATGCAAATACTTGCAGTTTTTTACATCAATCTTTACGCACAATTATGCATTTCGCTTCAAGAATATGCTTTGCCCTTTTTGTTATCCTTAATGTAACCTCCTCGTCCATATCTTCGAGGATCTCGGAATTACGCGGTCCGGAGATTACTGAAAGGAAGTTGCGATCAATCGCCGAGTAAAATAAACCGGCAGCAAAATCGCGCGC